AAATTTTCCGTACGTCAATATCAATTTCCAGGGGTTCAGATCAAAGCACGCTCTTTTCGCGAATATCCTCTAGGTGAAGTTGCCTCTCACATGGTAGGTTATATAGGACGAATTTCTCAAAAAGATAATGAAAAACTTCGGAAACGCAGTGAAGAAGGGAAGCAAGATGATCCGCGTAAAGACTTTGGTAACTATCGTGGTACGTCCTATATCGGTAAATCCGGCATAGAAGAAAGTTATGAAACCGAACTTCATGGCACAACGGGCTCTGAGAATGTCGAGGCGGAAGCGAATGGCACCGTTGTACGGGTATTATCCAGGAAAGCCCCTACCAATGGAAATAATCTCATTTTGGCAGCGGATATTCGTTTGCAATATCTTGTCGAGCATTTGTTCAATGGTCGAAAGGGCGCATTTGTCGCTATCGAACCTGAAACCGGTGACATTCTCGCTTATGTTTCAAAACCCAACTATAACCCTAACTCATTTGTAGATGGAATTGATCCTCAAACTTGGGCTGGTTTGCGTGATGATCCCAAAAAACCGATGCTCAACCGCCCTATTCAAGCGACTTATCCACCAGGATCAACTTTTAAACCTTTTATGGCCATGTCTGCTTTAATGGATGGGATACGTAAACCCGAGCAAGCTTATAATGACCCAGGGTACTACATTTTGGGTAAACATCGCTTTCGTGGTCATGCGACGGGTATTACGAATATGCACCGTTCCATTGCGCAATCGAGCAATACCTACTATTATATTTTAGCGCATGATATGGGGATAGATAAGCTGCATAACTTGTTGAGTCAATTTGGTTTCGGAAATAAAACGGGTATAGACCTAGTGGGTGAAAAAAAGGGACTGTTACCTTCATCAGAATGGAAGATGAAGCGTTATAAGCAAAAGTGGCTAGATGGCGAAACCATTTCTGTAGGGATTGGTCAAGGTTATTCGAACTTTACGATCACACAACTCGCTTATGCGACAGCGATCATCGCAAATAAGGGGGTTGTTATGAAACCGCATCTTGTTAAGTTTATCGAGTCGGTGACTTCAGGGGAGCGAGTACCTACTGTACCAAAAGAAACGAGCCGATTGCCCATGACACAAAAACAAGTTGATGTGATCACCAATGCTATGGTTGAGGTCAATCGTTCGGGCACAGGGGCAAAAGCGTTTTCAGGATTCCCCTTTCCTGTTGCGGGTAAAACGGGTACCGCTCAAGTTAAAGACTTAAAGGGGCGAGCTTACAATCGTTCAGTGACACCAGAAGAGTTTCGTGATCATTCGTTATTTATCGCTTTTGCACCTGCAGATAAGCCTAAAATTGCTATGGCACTTGTAGTTGAAAATGCCGGATTTGGTGCAGAAGCCGCAGCACCTATTGTTCGAAGTGCTTTGGATTATTATTTACTGGGCAAGTTGCCCAAAACTGTAGAGGAGATAACAAAACAATGGTACAGAACACATTTGTACCCCCCTCATCAACTGCCAAAAGGCTTTTTTGACCCAATGACCTCACAAGTTGTCCCCAATGAAAACTTAAGTAGTGGGGTAATGAACCAAACAACCCCCGTCGTTTTACCCCAGCAGGGAGCAACACAATGAAAAATATTTCGGGTTGGCCACAAAAAATGCTCAGTGGTTTTGATAAACCACTATTGTTGATGATGGCCACCGTTTACATTCTGGGACTGGTTACACTGTACTCTGCAAGCCTATCACACCCAGAGTTCTTGGGGCAACAAGTCCGCAATATCTTAATATCATTGATACTGGTGTTTGCACTAGCCAATATCTCACCCCAAAACATTATGCGTTTAGGACCGCCTATTTACGTGTTAGGGGTAGTGTTGTTGGTCGCTGTTTTATTGTTTGGGGTGACTAAAAAAGGTGCCACACGGTGGCTTCACGTAGGCATCGACATTCAGCCTTCTGAAATCATGAAGATAGCTGTTCCGTTGACCATTGCTTGGTATTTTCATAATCGGGAAAGTTTGCCCAAATTTAAAGATTTTATTGTGGCCAGTCTGATTCTGATTATTCCTGCCTTATTAATAGCTAAACAGCCTGATCTTGGAACAGCCATATTGGTCACTTCAGCGGGTGCCTATGTGATTTTTTTTGCGGGGATGAGTTGGTGGCTTGTGGTTCCATTGATGCTCGCGTTAGTGATCAGTGTTTTGATGTTACTCTCATTTGGTCCAGACGGCTGTGCGAGCGAGAAAAAATGGCCACTATTACACAACTATCAAAAACATCGTATTTGTACTTTACTGGACCCAGAGTCC